ACATCCTGATGAAAGAAGAGAAGAAAAGAAAGAACACAAACGGACCTGTGGCGGATGAGATGAACAGATATGAGGTGTGAGACGAATAGCGACACAGAGAGCGAAAAGACTAGAAAAAATCTGATGAGGAAAAGAAAACAACTATAGAAAAGAAAACCCCTATTTGTATCCCCCCCAGCAGATGATCTAGGTTTCAAACCTTGTCGATCTCACTACTTCACGTGCTCTGCTCCGAGTCCGCCGCAGCGGATTGAGAATGAATCCCCGGCCCATCCGTTCAATACCCCCCCTCATTCTCAACCCGACAGGTTGATTCCTTCGACACATGCCATGTGCTTGATCTTGCAGAGTGATTTGGTCAGAAAGTTGGCTAGATTTGAGTGAGTTGAGATATACTGGGGAGAAATTGTGTTGTCGGCAACTTTCTCTCGGATCCAGTGTAAATGAATTCTGAAGTGTTTTGTCCTGTTGTGAAACACTGTGTTTTTGGACAGAGCGATGGCAGCTTGATTATCGCACAAAACTTGAATCGGGCCTTCATGCGGAATCCGTAGACACTGTAGGAGTTGACCAATCCAGATTGCCTCGCGACCCCCTTCGTAGAGCGCTGTATATTTGGCCTTGGTGGTGGAAGACGAGACAGTAGGATTCTTTTTTGATTTCCAGGAAACAATGCCTCCCCCAATAAGAACCAGATAAGAAAAATAGGAATAGGAATTGATTTTGTCGTTGGCGTGATTGGTGTCGACATAGATTTTTATTGGTGAGAGGGAGTCCCCAAGAGTTAGACCCCTGGAGGATGACCCGCAAAGATACCGGAGGAGATGAATGCAAGCATCCCAATGCTTGGATCCAGGATTTTCAAGGTATTGTGACAGTTGAGACATGGCAAACAATATATCCGGTCTTGTTGAGACAGCCAAGTAGTTGAGAAGACCAATGGCTCGACGGTAATTGACATTTAGAGATCTAAATTCAGCTTGCTCCTCAATTGTTGCCGGAACTAATCTGGTGTTGGGAACAAACGGGGTGGAAACTGTTCGGCAATTTTGCATTCCGTAGGCAGCGAGTATTTTGTTGGTATAGATGTCCTGAGAAAGACGAATAGCATTGCCAAATTTTGCAATCCTCATGCCTAGGAGATGGTGGAGAGGACCAAGATCTTCCATGAGATACCTTTCAGAAATAAGCTTCTTGAATCTGGCGACATCTTTGCTGACAATGACCATGTCGTCCACGTATACATGAACCCAGAATGGCCAGAGAGGATTGTTTGAATAGAATAGACACGGATCGGCATTTGACGGAGAAAAATTGATAGAAGTGAAGAAGGAAGACAGTTCGTGGTGCCAAACTCTTGGGGCCTGCTTGAGTCCGTAGATGGATTTCAGCAGTAGGAGACACTTGCCCTTAGGAACGTTTAAACTGGCCGGAGGTCTTAAGTAGATTGTTTCGTCAAGTTTGCCATTCAAGAATGCATTCTTGACATCCATTTGATGAATGTCCATACTGGATGCTACCCCCATTGATAGTAGAGTACGTAGAGCAGTAGGCCAACCGGTGGGAGTGTAGGTCTCGGCATAGTTAAGTCCTTCAACTTGAAATTTGCCAGCAGCACAGAGCCTCGCCTTGTATTTTGACAGTTGACCGTTCTCATCAAACTTCTGACGAAAGATCCAGACTGTGTTAAGTAGTTCGACCCCAGCTGGGATGTCTACAACTTTCCACACTCCGAGCCTCTCCATAGCGGATAGTTCGGCCTTGATTGCTTCAACCCAGCTTGCTGAGTCAGGGCTTTTCATGGCCTGAGAGTAAGTTTTCGGAGATTCGGACGTTTGATCGAAGAATTGCGCTCCAGCCAGAAAACATTGGATATGAAAGTCGAAGTCTTCGTCAACAATCACCAATTGAGCTCGTCTCTTGGTGTTGAGGATGTTGGACTGATCAATATCGGAGTTGATATCCTTAGGAGCTTTCTGTCCAACAGGTTGCAGGACGACATCGAATCCAGGTCGTGCCTGAGATGGATTATGAGAAGCGGGAGCATTTGACTGTGACGAGTCTTTGTGTGGAGGTGTTTCATCTTCATGATTGGTAAGAAGTTGATGAATCTCCTCGTCGGAGGTGTCAGACATGTCAATCTCAACCGTTTGATGATTTGACGGAGGAATAACTTCATCCTCGTAATCAAAGCCTTCTGAGAGAATGTCCATCGGGGATATAAGGCCAGCAGGATCAAAGGTAGAGATTCCTGGATACAAAGTCTCGTTGAATGTAAAATCTTGACTTAACTCTACTTTTTGATCAGCTGTTAGGATGCACCAGTTATGCATCCCTAGCTGGTACCCTATCATTATTCCCTTTTTAGAAGTGTCAGAGAATTTGGTGATGCGCTTCTTATCAGGAAGATTGATATAAGCTTGACATCCAAACGAGCGAAGACGTGAATTGTCAAACGATCGGTTGAACTAGAGTTCATAAGCCGATACCCAATTCTTCTTTCGAGTAGGAGTGATATTCTCGAGGAACACCACAGTTTCCACTGCATGATTCCACAGTGAGTGAGGGAGACGAGCTTGCTTGAGCAGTGCCCTGGCTTTCTCAGTTGTAGTCCTATTACCCCTCTCAGCAACTGGGTTTTGTTGAGGAGTGTAGGGAGCGGTGATGTGGGAAGTGACACCTTTTGACTTGAGAAAATCCTTGAACTCGCTCGAATTGAATTTGCCGCCTCCATCGGTGGTGATGTTCTTAATGGGACGAGAATGAAGTGTGGTGACATTGGTATAATATTGTTTGAAGTATGAGAAAGCCTCTGATTTCTTTCTTAACAAGTAAACAAATTTATATGAAGAGTATTGGTCGTTTATTTTAAAATAATATTCAAATCCATCTGATGTAGGGGGATTGATACGACCACTTAGATCAAAATGAACGAATTCGAGACAATGAGAGGATATGGGAAGAGTCCCAGAGTAAGGTAAACAATGAGATTTGGATAAAGAGCACGCTTCACAGTGAATTTTGAAGTCCGAAAGATTGAACATCCTTTTTAGGGAATCGTTGCTTGGGTGCCCCGCCCGCCTGTGAAGGAGTTCGATGTCAGAGTCGGATTTCAAAAGAGCTGATTTCGAGTGGAAGGACTTGCCTTTAACTATCTTGAGATCAATGGTGAACACGTCTTGATTGTTTAGATTAACATTGAAGATGGTTTCTCCTTCGTTGACGAGTTTTGCAGATGTAGGTCCCGTTCTGACCCGATCGCAACCCCTGCAAAACAGTCGTCCCTCGGATATCAAGTTCCCAACGAGTTGAGGAACATGAAGACATTTGAGTTTCAAGGACTGGCCAGAGACTGTCTTGACATAGACATTACCGATACCGGGACATAGAGTAGTTTTCCCATAGTCAAGCTCGATCTTGCACTTGGAGTTAGTCGAGTATGTCAAGAAGGAAGATCGATCTGATATCATGTGGTGTGAAGCACCGCTATCGAGGTAGGCAACGTTAGGCGCCAATTTCACCAAAAACGCTTTCTTGATGGTATGCCAGGCAATACTAGAAGTTGAGTCGTCATCTTCATCGTCGGCTGCAACCTTGGCTTTCTTGGCTTTAGCTTGAGCTTTCGCTCGACGTTTCTCCATCCTTGTCCGTTGCTCTGGATACACCTGGAAGCATCTGGACTCGGGATGATTGGCGGCCGGGTTGTGAGTACCATTGGAGCATTCAGGTTCAGTCGATCCAGATGAACGAGACACGGCCTTCATAGCCGATTCCTCTGTCTTGATCCGAACGGTAGGATCGTCCAATCTGTGATTATCTAGAAGCGATTGGAGTTTTTTGACAGTGGGGGGCCTGCTTCGGATGAGTACCTCGCGAGTGTGAATCAATCCAGAGGGAATCTTCTCGAGAACATTCTCGCAAAAAAGGTTTTCATGGATTTCAAAGTCTTTTGGGATACCGATTCGAAGTCCAACGGCATTGAGTCGACTGATGTGATTGGTGAGGTTGATGATGAAGGCCTTGATGTCACTACCTTTGAATTTAAAGGATAGGAAATCGTTGTAAACCTTAGCCTGATTAGAAATTGCTGTCAATTGATAATGACCTTCGAGTTTCAGCCACATCTCTCGAGGTTCGTCTTTAGTGTCTTTGGTTTTGAATTTTTGATAGTTTGTTATGCCCATGTATTGTTGAAGAACACCGGAAGCTTTCATTTTTCGAGTTTTGAAAGATTTGAGCTTGGTAGCGTCCTTCGGTTTTTCTTCTTTCAATGAAATGAAAGAATACAGATCATGTTTCTTCATGTAGCCCTCGATTAGCATACTCCACAAATCCCAGTTGAGATTTGTGAGATTGGGAATAGTTGGAGTTGAGGTTTTGTCGGTCATGTTTTTCTCGTAGGTGTAGGTTGATATGAGGAGGAAGTTAATGCGCCCCTGGGCTCATAACCTAAAGAACCTAGAATCTGAGGTTTCCAAACCAAGGTGTTAGGACACGACCAAC